GTTTTGTGTTTTTGTAAGTCTTTTCTTTTTGTGGTTTGTTTAAAAAATTAATAAAAAGACCATGATCAAAAAAAAGTTGAGTTTTGCTGATAAAATGTCTGACCTCAGAGAGAAGATTCTGGAAATCACATCTGAGTATCCAGCTCTGAAGACCCTCATCATTCATACAGGAAGTGATGAAGTTGTGAACCGACAGAAATCCAGAAGAAAGATTTAATTCAGCTGCTGAATGCAGTTAAGAATCTCAACATGGATGTATTGATCAGTGGGCCAATTCCTACAGCCCGAGGAGGGGCTGAGAAATTCAGTAGACTTTTTGCCCTTAATGGTTTTTTGGAAAAGTCCTGTGCTGACCACTCTGTGAGATATGTGGATAACTTTGATCTGTTCTAGGAAAGACAACATCTGTTCAAGTCTGATTGATTGAATTTGAATCATTCTGAAGCTAAGATGTTAGTTTCAAACATGAAGTATTTCCTGAACCAAGTGCCGGCTGGAAACAACAGAAAACAACAGGAGTGTTGATCAGCTGATATCTGAGGCTGAAGGACAATAGAAGCCAACTTAGACACCGATGCAAAACAACATGCAAGTAGCTGATAAGAAGACTGCTGCAGAACCAGAACCACAAAGAGAGGAGTTACTTCAAGCTGCTGAACCGGAAGAAAATCTGGATTCATCGTCATCACAACCAGAGTAATCAGATAATGTGTTCCCCCAGCCTTCAAATGAAGAAAAACTGACCATTACTTCTCTTCCACCAGAGAACACCAAACCATCAACTGAGAACAGAGGATGGGATGAAATTGAGGACCCTCTTAAACAAGAAAATGAGCATTTGGATTATCACACAAAGCTACGGAACCTCTGGGCAAAGAATAAAAAGAAATGGACAGAAAATAATAAACAAGAGTGTAAAGAGATCATTTTGAGTCTTAATGCTGTGGAAGGAGAGGAGGAGTTAGAAGAGTGGAAAAAGTTACATGATTGGTCACCCTGAATTGAATATTTTTATGTGTGGGAGGAATAAAAATTGAATTTCTTGGGTTGGGAAATGTTTAGAAATATCCTGATGTGACAACAGCTGTTATAACATGTCTTTATAAAGTTTTCATAAAATTTCCTTATAGTTTTGATATATTTTATACAATATATGTCAAGAG